AAGGCGTGAAGCCCTCGCAGCCGCCCGGCGCCAGCCGGGAGGCGGCGGGGCCCGGTACGTGCGTGCAGAGGTGTCTGCCGAGGCGCTGCTGGTGCGCGGGCTCTTTGTTTTGGAGGAGTCGGCTGCGTCCGACCTTACTGATTTTTAAGATAGCTAAAGTTTGGGAGTATTCTAGACCTATTCCCCCGCACTTTAGCTGTCTTTTATGAGATAATTAAGATACTAATTATTTAATTGTGCTGACATGTAAGTGAGCTCAAATTTTGCCGTTCTAAAAACGGGTTTTCAGAGACAGGCCTTTAAGGTAGAGAACTTCAGATGTAAAGCAGTGGCTTCTGAGCTTTGCAAGTACCAAAAGTCACGAGGCTTAGAACCAAAACTATCTGTCAGCTTAACTTGTGTGTACAGCTGCTGTCATTGATGACACCAGAAATACCTAGTGTGCGTTAGTAACAAATACTGTGGCCAACAAAGTGTGTATAGTGGGTTGGGGCATCACTTTCACTAGACGATTCGGTCAGTGAGGAAACTTAAGGAGGCTTCTTGGTGGGCAGAAGGTGTAAAGGTATGAACTGAAGGTACAAAGATCTGAGTGGAAGTGTAGAGGAGGAGGAGAGTAATGTAATTACTGCTGCATCAGAAACGGTGTCCGTCGGCCACAAACCTTAAAATCAAATGTTTCTGCAAGGTGGAAGCCCTTAGTAACACACATCTGAAGTAGTAATGCCCTGAATCTGAGCCAGTGCAAGAGGGTCCTCCTGAGTTTGGGGAGCAAGTGGCGCTGTCCTTGCTGCTCTCTGCTGGTCCTGTCTGAAGCAGGATTAATGTGTTGGGGATAACTTCGTGTTTAGTCAACAGGATGATGCTCCTCTCGGGGTAGATTCTTCTTCCATCTGGAAATGTCCGGAGGTGAGGAAAGCCATGTGTACTAGCTGTGAGGATTGTTCCTCTCTTGGTGCTGGGGGACTCTCTCCCCTCTCTTGTCTGGGGACAGTGGGACCCTCCAGCTTACAGGATTTGCACTGCTCAGCGACCTCCACAGCCTCACAGGATTCCTGTGCCAAATGGACAAGTTTATTGGAGCTTTGTATCTGCTGTGTCCAGTTCAGCTGCCTGATAAACCCATGCAACCAATCTGGAAGTCATTCAAAATATGGAAGCAAACTGAAGATGGAGGAAGATCTACTTTGTGTAGATTTTGCGTTAGAAATAAATTGGGACTTCAGGTTTTCATTCCATTTAAAAAAAAAAAAAGTGTCTTTGCCATTAAAAAGTTTGGGGTTCCCCCCCACGTACCACATAAAAGTTGCTGGGTTTTATTTTTTAAGCAGGTCTCTGGCATGCTTTGGGCGCTTTCACATCTTATTTAATCATAGCTAAAGATCCAATAATTAAAAGCTGTATCTAATTCAGATACAAAATAGAAATCACTGGAAGACTACAGTTGTTTTTTTTTCGTGTGTTTAAAGAGATACTTTCTTTAGGAAATGGGTTATATCTAGCAAGTCAGCTCCTCTTCTGGTCTGGTGAATGGTTTGGTGCCTGTTGGTAAGCTGCTGGTGTTTGTATTGAGCGGGCTGCTGCGGCTTGCACTGGAGTTAGGCAAACCTTGTGTTAGTATCTCGTCTGGTCTTTGAGATAATTGTTTTTGAACCATTCAGAAATAATTGGCGTGATAATATCTTGGGCTGGGTTTCTAGGAATTTTTGCTTAGAGGTCTGGGGGAGGAGTCTTCTCTCCCCACTGACTTCTCCAGCGTGTTTTCCTGATGTGGTGTGTTCTCCTCAGCCGGTTTCATAGCTGTTATCTTCTAATGAAAGCTGGGCTTTGGGAACTGGAATCACTGAGTTTAAGCTATTGCTCAGGCAAGCTGGCTGAGTGGCTTCCCCTTGATGGACCGGAAGTCTCCTCGCCTCTAAAATACGGCTAATGGTTCTCCCTTATGTCTGTCCTCTAAGGCATTGTGAAAGCTGATTACTGCAGTGTGCTTGGATACTGCTTGATGAAATGGTACTTACAGAGAAGATAGTACCCTCTTGATGAGGATATGAGTTTCTTTAGAACTAATAGGGTACTCATGTTAACTCTCTAGGGCAAGAGAGAGGGTAGTATTTCAGTATTAACAGTGAGATTTGTTAAAGTGGTTTGTGGGCAACCAGCTCTAGGTGGCCCTGCTTGAGCAGGGGGGTCGGACCAGGTGACATCCAGAGGTCCCTTCCAACCTCAGCCATTCTGTGATTCTGTGAAGTCGGCACAATGTTCAATAGTGGATAGACTGGCATCTTTAGAAAAAGTGAAGATAACGTGAATGAAATGCAATGTGAAGGTGGCAGGCTAGACGTGATTTGTCAGCACTGCTAGAAAGTGAGTGGTCTGCTACGATTTAAATACTTAAATTAAAATTCTTAAAACCCCTAAACAGTCGAGACACTGGATGTTGTCACAGCACAGTGAGCTGATTCTTTAAGCTTGAATGTAAGCTCCAAATTCTTAAAATTGTTCCTCCAGCCAAGCATGTTAAAATGGTCACAAAAGGAAAAGGAAAGAAGAAGGAAACAAGTGATTGTATGAAGTTAAAGGTCTTTTTTGCAAAATGGAATCTCTTCATACTTTCAGAGCATTTTATGATAATGCAAAACTAGCTGACCTTTTGTACCAAAAGTAAAGAACTTATATCACAATAACATTGAACAGCTACCTTTTGGAACCTAGATCTGCCATACTACATGAAGTGCAAACACAGCATAGAAGGTCTCTGCCCCAAAGAGTTTGTTTTATTAACTTAAATCCAAATTAGATAAGTTCAGAAGTACGCCAACACTCTTAAATGTTTATGCCATGCAGGAACTCCCCTAGTATGTACCTTATATCCATGCTGTGTTGGACTTCCATCACTCTCTGTATTGGTCCTCGTTTTGGACAGCAGCTTAATTCTTTAGTCTGACATGGGTCACACAAGCATTCCTGTGTGAAAATATGCAGTGAACACCAAGGCATCTAATGAACTGGGAAGTTTTGTCTGAAACAAGGCACTCTGCGGTGTGGCGTTGTGTTTTATGCTCTATTATGATCAAACATTATCTGAATGCTTAGAGAATTTTCCTTCTTGAGATAATGTATTAGGTTAAAGTGCTCAGAATATGAGGTAACTTCAGAAGCCGCTTCTGATTTTAAATACGTCAAAGCTAGCAGAAACCTAATATTTCAAATAAGAGTTAATTCTTTTCTCTGAAGGAGACTGAATCTGTGGTACTGTTTTGTTGCTTATCAGATGTTAATGGTGTTTCTTACTATGCTTGTTAATTTTGACAGGTCTTTCACTTGTACAAAGAAGCTTTGTTGCCAAGATTTACTCTGAAAATGACCTACACTACTGACTGCAGCTGTCTGCAAATGTAGAAGCCGATAAATGGTATCTCCTTCCCTCCCTTGACTTTCCTGTTTCCTGTGGAATATATACTTATAAGTATTTTTAAAATTAGACCTCTGTTGAAGACATTTGGATTATAACTGTGAGCATATCTATGCAAAGAGACGAGCCAGCCTGAGCAATTTTGAGGTATGTATGCCTACTATGACTTATAACAAATGGGAAGAAAAGACCATCTGATTATAGGGCAAAGAGAACTCTAGGTGTATATTTTCTAGATTCAGATTGATCTGCACCATTGTTCATGGTTTTAGCAATGGAATATACATATGCACAGTGAGACTGTACGAGCACCAGAATATCCAGCTGGCATCGTGTGGAGGTGACCTTGTTTGAACCTGCTGTAGGAATGTTCAAAAGATTCCTTTCAGAAGAGCTTGTGTTGTATGACCTGAGCCTTCACTGCTTGCCCATTCAGTTCTTAAATGCCACAAAGGTCTGTAGAGATTTTCTTCTTCCAAGCATTTGACGGGCATTAAGTAGTCATTGAAATGCACCTGGGAGGCAGTGGTAGTTTCTCTGTTTGGTTAGATGAAGCATTCAGATGAAGTTAGAAGGTACCTGCCTTGAATTGGAAAGCATCTTCAACGAAGGCTAGAAAATAAGTAGGTCTTGCTTGCATTCCTATGCACAGGTCATAGTGCAGTGGTCTTTTTGCTCACTGAAAGCAGCAGTCTCATAGGGCAACCTGCCTGTAATGTACAAGACTAGCAGAGCTGGGTGGGCTTTGCTTTGTGACTGTCCCACCTTTGGGTGGACACCAGCTGGGACACCAGCTTTGTCCCACCCAGGTAACAGAAGATGGAGAACCTTAGTTGTTTGAGACGCACAGAAATTCACCAGCTTCCACAGCTGTATTTTACCTTAAGGCTTTTAGCTGTACTTTCCTATTGAATTCTAAACCTGGAATGAGGAAGTCAGCTAATTTCCTCTGTACGGGCTTAGAAGAGGCCAGTGTGCACTGATAACATCTGTTGACTCTCCTTTCGTAAACCACTTGGACATGGTTATCTTTTCTGTGATGTAGATGTTCAGGCTAACGCTCCAGGGCAGTGGCAGTCTTATCAGTTAATGGTGGGTTACAGCGAAAGGTAGCCAAACACATCTCTGTCTTCCAGGAGAGACTGATTATTCGTTTAGTCTTTTTTTTTATTCCAAAAAGGAAAACTAATGTGCTGAAAGTAGGTATCTTGACTGAATCATTCAGCATGCTACATTGCTGTACAGTATGTATTTAGCAGACACACTTTTCTTAAGAGCTTTTATTCATGAGCTCCAATGATTCAGGCTGAGATGATACTGGAGGGACACAGATCTAACCTACACCTACCTGTCTGGCTTAATAGCCTGATGTTGTTCCTATAACAGGAAGGCAAAATGGACTGTGTCTGCAATGCTAGTGTAAACTGTAATTGGCAGTGAAGTGCTGTGGTTGAGAAGAGGATCCTTATCTGTACTGCAGGTACTCCTCCCGCCATTCCCCTACAAGCAGAGCTAGGATCAAGGGGTGATAGGTTGGTAAATTTCTCTGTTATGAGTGGGCAGAACTTAGCATGGGAAACTTTAAATGTATTCCTTCGTCTAACCTGGGCATTGTTATTTGGCTGTGGTAGTATACTAAAATAGCATTGGGCAGAAAAGTATTTTTATTTCCTGTGAACTGCTTTCATGAAAACTGGAGAAATGCACCAGAACCTCAGGAGTGAAATGGTTTGCTGAGCTGCCCGTTACGATCTTAGTGTGTGTTTTAGATAGTGTACCAGGGACTTGGGTTCTGTAACCCAACTAGGTGCCTTTTTTAGTTGTATATAAGTAAGTTACGGTCTCTGTAATTCCATCAACTAAAATCAGTGCGCATTGCCCAAAAAAGCTGCTGGTCTGTGAAAATCGAACAATTGCTGCAGTAGCTCTGAAAACCTGTAAGAATATGTAGATTTCATGTGTCCCTAAGCAAGGAATTAATCTTTATTTCCTTATCTGTAAGATGAGGTTGATCTACCTTTGTAAAACATTCCATTTCATGAAAAGCATCGTTTCAGTGTTGTTTGCAATAGCTGCAGTTTCATTATTCAAACTCATGTGACTAAAAGTGAATACTAATGTGTGGAGTGGCAAAGAATTTTAGTATAAGGGTTTTCTTGATATAAAGAAATGTTCTGAAAGGTGAAATTGTGTACATTGGAGAACGTTGCCCTAAAAGTGCCTTACAAGGTGTCTAAAAAGTTTCAAAGAATGTTAAAGGGCACTGAGATGTTGAGACGGATGGTAGTGCCATTGATTCAACTTGTGTGATGGGTTACGATAAGTTTGCAGGTGCCTACTTGCAGTTTCTTCAGAGAGAAATTTGGCAAATTTCAGTCTTTTTTCAGATTTGTGTGAGCTGGTTGGTCTCCCTTAACAAATTCCTTGGTGGCCTCTCTTTGTCCTGGAGTTGTTGGCTGTTATTTTCTGGGAAGCTAGTTGCCATGGTGATTATCCTGTTAGCAAATAAATGTGTTTTTCATGATCTCCAGGTATACTAGTTTGGAGCAAAAAGACTGTAGCCTTTCCCGGGATTGATAGAAGTACTACACCCATAGAGACTCAGTGTTTGTAAATCATTGCCTGTGGGAGAGCACTGAACAAGCATCTTATGCTTTAGTGGGTCATAGTAGTAAGGTGTAATATCACTTGTCTGCAAGGTTACCTCTGTTACTATGAGTCTGAGGCCGAATAATGGTTAAAATTGGAGAAATGAAAAAAGAGCGACTTTTGGTCAGGATCTGTTATGACTGAACTTGTCCGATTCAGGCCTGCTGACTGACTAGTAAAGTGAAAGTGCTGTTTGTGGAAAACAGTCCCTTAAAGGTGTATGGTGCTGTGATCCTTCACCGTGTTGGCTTTCAGTTGGTATAACCTCTAGCTCTGGTCTTCAGCGTTCCTGTTGGAGCTGAGATGCTATTTGTGTTGCACCACTGTTTGTTTTCAGCTCCTTAAAGCTGGGGCAGTGAGATGTGGTCCCAGCTGCGCCTGCCTGTGCCAGTGCTGTGGCATGGGAGCTGCAGCTTGCTGTGAAACCCCTGCACATCTGTCTCCTCATACTCCTCCAGAAGTAGGTCACAGAAGTGGGATATGCCTGTGTCGTTGCTAGGGGAAAGCAGAGGTTGATGTGGCTCAGTGACCGTTGATTAACATTAAATTCTTTGCTGGGGAAGAGCATGAACTGGATATGTAAACCTTTTCTTAATGGGAAGAGCTTGGTTAGTTCGCATTGAATACCTATGAGAAGTTTGACTGCTTGGTCTGCAGAGTGTCCTCAGGTAGAGAAGTGAGAGCTTGGTTGCTTGTGGTGGGAATGGGGAGGCTGCAACAGTTGCTGCTTTGCTGGTCTGCAGAGCAGTTTCCATGCTGGTCACGCTTTGCTGCGGGTGTTGGTTTTCAGATGCTTTGTTGTGCTGAAAGAGTAAGTTTTGGTTCTGGTTTACCAAAGTCCTTTAAATGCCTCAGTTGCAATTTCACTTTGCGGGAGAAGAAAAAAAATCCAAAGTGGTTTTTGGTTTAGTGTTGGTTTAACTCCTTGATGAGTGTCTCAAGTTTTCATCTCTAAAAAGAGCCTGTGCTAGTTGAGACAGTCTAAGAAATTTTTTTTTAAAAAAAAAAGCAAAATTTATGTGTGTCACAGATGACACTCCCAGAGTCACTTGAGTTTTTAGGATCAGCTCAGATTTAAACCCGGTGCCCAAAAGATGCCAGTTGTAACTACTAAACTCTACTAGCTTCTGAACTCCTCTGGCTTCCTAAAGAAAAGCGCCCATTGAGGGTTCTTTTGTTCTGGCATCTGTCACTTGCTGGGAATGCATCCATATTCATGGTGCCTTCCAATAACTACTGACTTCAGTCCTCCTCTGCTGAAAACAGGCTCCCTCTACTCTTCTCTGAGGTGCTGTGTGTATTCTCTAGTGAGCTTGCCCAAGGAAGCCTTCAAGTATTAATATAAACAGCAAATCCAACAAATTGCTGTTTAGAGAACAGTCAGATACATTTTTTGGTTGCTGCTAAAATGAGAAATTGTTCTAACTTTTTTTCCTGGCTCCCCCTGCTCTGGTTCCTAAGCTAGTCTTTCTTTTTAAAACTTAGATCACTTTAAAGAGCAGAGTTAGGGAATTGATCAGACAACTAGCAGAACAGAGGGGATGGCAACCTTCAGTGCAGGATGCCAAGGGAAGCAACAGCATTTTTGCTTGTTGGCTGCTGCCAGTTTGGGCTAATCTGACTGTGCTCTAAGTTACCCTTCATCTGTAAATAGTTTAAAAAGAAACTCCAGGTAATTGGGTACTTTTAGGTCATTAATGGACTAGCATCTTTAATTGTGATGACACAGTTAATACTTGTCTGTATGGTTTAATGATAAAACATCACAACTGTGGATATTCAGGTATACAAGGAAATATTTTAATTTTGCAGAAGTGTAAACTTTTAATGAAGTATGCTTTTTATCCAGGAAGTAAAGTCTGTCTTCAGCTTTTTTTTAGATGGTTTTGCTGAAATAAAAGGTCAGACTGCAAACTTCCACCCAAAGGGAGACAAATAACCTATAATCCAATTACTTAAGCCATTTCTCATTATTTTTGTGTGTGTGTTTGTGGAGATAATGGTAAATCAGCTGAAGGCTGTCTGGAGTTGAGTATGAAGCTGTACCAACAGTGAATTTTGGCCTGGTTTCCTCAGGCAGTCTCTGGCAATCACAAAATAAAACAATACACTTGCACAGAGAATCGCTATAGGCACTGACAGTTGTGAAACTTAAAGGAGGATCTTTACCCCTTTAAATTTGCACTTAACTTTAAAAAAAAAAATGCTTATGTTTTAGCAAACTCCAGGAACTGGCGGTGACCCACTATTGCTGACCCACCTTTTTTGTGCAAGGTTATTAAGGAAGTGCTAGAATAGCATGGGTTTTCTGTTCTGTGGTCATGCTATATGAGGCTTTGAAAAGATAAGCACGTGTTTCAAAAAGAAAAGAACTGTCACTATCTCTAACCTTGTTCAGTTGCTTTGAGGATGGCAGCTTTTAGATTGAGAACCACTGTGCTCTGCTGACATCTGAGCCTCCACTCTTCATTCATGAGAAAGTCCAACAGGTGTATGTG